ATGAACCTATTTCTTCAAATGTTTGGTTATCAATATTTCTTTTGCCTGTTGCCCTACTTTGTTTTTCTCTTCCCTTACCTATATATACATATATTTCTTTTTGTCAATTGGTTAGGTCTTGATCCAGTAGTGGAGATGAGCGAAGATAAAATAAATTCTTCAGAGAATGATCAGAAAGTCCTTCAGCTTTGGTGTGGATCTTCGTTGAAGGACACATTCTCATGGGAACCTTATCTAGTACTTTCTGTAGTATTTGTCTTGTCGAGGGCTTTTCTATATTTTTTCCCAGAGATCGTATCTCGTGCAATGGCATTATGGCTTGCACACATTCCTCATCTGAATATGGGAATCTTTGGAGAGTCAAGGCAGCTTTTAGAACGTGTTTTCCAACTGATTGATATCAAGAGAATTTGGAGCAAGTTGAAGCTATGTAAAACTAGGAACTTTCATAAAGGGGCAAGAAATGCTCGGGTTTGGGCTTCATCTCTGGCATCCGTTTCCTTGGGCGAGTCGTCCTCAACAAGAGCATTCCCATCCAGAGACTTGTAAAATAGCTTGTGTGCGTTTCATCTTGAAGCTTCTTAGCAACCTGGAACTGGCTTCTACAGCACTTGGATTCAAGTTTTCTCTTGTTGTAAGTTTTGCTCTATCCAATGTCGTCCTTTGTCTTGAGAGTACAAATATGTGAAACCATTATATGTCCCATTCAGTGTCTTGGTAGTAGAAAGAAATCATCTCAGTCGTGTAAATTTGAGGACATGTATCTTTGATGTATATTACCTAGTAATTGAGAGAGATCCAGACTCGTATAGTTGAAGTTTGCAATTTTTATCACGGTTGGTTTTCTTTGAAGATTAGCATTATATTGGGAATTACATAAGAGGGTCGCATGGTGCTTTATGTAATACGAAGTATATCTCTCTCTTGTTTTCTGTCAGTCTCCATACACCCCATTAGCCATCCTCTGATATTTTTTACGGTCTTGCTAGGAGTACATCACCCCTTACACAAGGGGTGACATAATGGTCAAGTGGCTCTTCCTCATTTAATTAATTATATTAAGGTCATAGATCTATACAATTTGGTCACAATTCAAAATTTTCATAGGTCACAATTTATTTATTGGTCACAATTTAGAAATTTAAAAGTCAAAATTTGTTCATCGGTCACAGATCTCAAAATTTAGAA